AAGGGCCTTCTACCTCCAGCCTAACTGGAATTCAAGGTTGGTCCCCAGACCTCCCTCTCCCTCAGGATCTCACAACTGCAGGACCTGACTCAGGCTTTCAGGGCTCGTCTGATCCTTCTGAGCCCAGCCCAGGCCTGGCCCCTCCCGTTCAGGGGCCTCAGCCACCTTTACTCCCATGGCTGCTGTTCCGTGAACTGTCCCACCGCTTTGGTCACCCTGTTCGCTCAACCCAACAACACATACCTGCTGTGATTTTACACCAGGTTCCAGGTACCAGGGGTGGTAGGCACCGACGCCCTCTGCAGCCCATAAAGGAGGGTCTCCTTTATGCCTTTCCGCCTCTGCCAATTGTACCACTGGTCATCCAGAAGATTTTGGTGGAATGGACGGAGATGCTGCTGGTTGCACCGATGTGGCCACGGGGCCCCTGGTATGTGGACCTCGTCCATCTGTCCATCTCATGTCCATGGAGAATTCCAGACAACCGGATATCCCTCTCACAAGGAGCCCTCGTCCACCCGAATCCACAGCTGTTACAGTTAGCTGTGTGGCATGTGAGCGGGCGATCCTGAGTCACCAGCATTTCTCTGATAAGGTCATCTCCACCATCCAGGTGGCTCACCGCCCGTCAACAACCTGCATCTACAAGGCTATCTGGTGCGCCTTCTGCAGATGGTGTTGAGCAACAGATGCGGACCCAACTGGGGTAACCATACCGCAGATATTGGACCTACAGATGGGCATGGACAAAGGGCTAACACCTAACAGCCTCCGCCGTCAAATTGTGGTTCTGTCTACCGTGATTGGTGGGGGGCAGGGCCACCCCCGATCTCAACCCCCGGGGGTGCAGGCCTTCCTGAAGGGAGCAGCGAACCTTAGTCCGCCTATTGTTCATCGCTACCCCACCTGGGACCTCTCCCTAGTACTCAATGCTCTTACGACGGCTCCATTCGAGCCTATTCGGACCATCTCCCTCAGGTTACTGACTCTTAAGACTATCTTTTTAGTAGCCATCACATCGGCCAGGCGCTTTCCGTCGGGATGACCTCTGCATTTTCCATCCGAGTAGGGTCGTACTACGTTTGGACCCAACCTTTCTTCCAAAAGTCAACTCGTGGTTCCACAGGTCACAAGAGGTCACTCTCCCGGATTTCTGTCCACGGCCATCTCACCCTGAGAACGGCATTGGCATCATCTCGACATTCGTCGTTCACTTTGCCGCTATGTGCGACGCATGCCATCGTTCAGAAGGACGGAAGCCCTGTTCGTGTCTTTCCAACCTGCCACCATGGGCCAAAAGGCATCATCGCATACCATCGACCGCTGGTTGAAGGCGTGTATTGCCCTAGCCTACGACTGTCAGTCCCGACCGGTTCCCAGTCACATCACCCCCCATTCTACCAGGAGTGTGGCCACGATGGCGGCCTGGGCAACACAAGCCTCGGTGGAGGACATCTGCAGGGCAGCGACCTGGTCATCGCCGTCACCCTTTATCCGTCACTACAAGGTGGATGTTTATGCCAGGCATCCTTTGGATGGCGCGTGCTGCAAAGGGTAGCTTCTTTGGTTACAGCACCAGACCAGCCTCGCTCCT